GAGGTTGCAGCGACTGTGTTCTCAGCGCACCGTTGTAGGAGTACAAAAGAAGTATTGCCTCTCTGAGTATTTGTGTGACAATAGTATGCTATGGTCGGGTAGGTCGTTGCAGGCCTGTGGCGATGCGTCTCGTGTCGGTCTCGCAGCATCTTGGTGGCAGTTTCTAATGCAATGGTCTGGTCGTGGCATCGACCCTCTTGCCACTGGTCTATATCAAGCGGCATTACGTGCTAGTCTTCCCTCCTTGACTTGCATTGGGCGGATGATGGACGCTGCGTGTGCTGGTGATGTCGATTGTCTGCAATGCCAGGAGGCGTTTATGCGAGGGACGGAGAAGTACGCGCACGAGACGCAGCTGTCAAAAAGAGTCGGGGCGTGGCAGGAGAAGCTCGAGCCGCTCATGGAAAGGTAAGCTCGAGGAAAACGACGTCCTGCTGTTTTTATTGGACTGGTCGTCGATGCCCTTGTTGTTCAATCTCAAAGCTCTCCCTTCTCTTCAATGGCAAATACGGTTTTTGTTAGTAACAATACCTATTACAGCCCCAACATAAGGGACATAAACGCAAAAATATGACGAGGGAGTCCCAACATTGCGAACACCTTTATTATTCTGTGGAACCACAAAAAGCTCAGACGAAGATCTGCTGGGACAGATACTGTAAGGCCTGAGAGGAAAGCAGAGCCCATCTTGATGAGGCTCGTAACTATTTCCACAGCGACAACGGAGAAATTGAGGTAGATTGCGTGCCATTGATCACCGTCCGCGACTGTTCGTGCCGCGCGTTGACCTTGACCGAACGTCCGTACAACACGGTACCGATGTTTTCAGCCAGGAGAAGAGGCAGGCGTTCGATATCCACGCGTACGGGCAGTCCGTCCTTTCAAGGGTGGCGTCGGTGCTAACTCCTGCCCAGAGGGCGAGAGCACACACGGCCGTCAAGGGAGTACAACCCAAGGTGCGGTGCGGTTATTACCATGGTGCAACCATTAGTCGCCCCGGTAGTCTAGTTGGTATCCTCAAAAACGCTCGTTTGTAAGGGTCGGGGGTTCGAATCCCGGCGTAAGCGAGAGTGTCTTGCAAAGTGAGTTTTTCTCTCGCTTCTGTTCCTTGCCTGGTTGGAAAACGCTAGTTCTTGTGTACACAGAGGGAAGGGAGTGCTGCCTCTTCTTGCATTAAACATCGAAGGCGAACCACCGCAGGAGGGGTGGGCAGGGGGGCTCAGTGAGAGGAAGCCTTGTGTGTGACCACGGGTTAGAGTAAACGGCGCAAGTGCTGTGAGCGCTGTTTTGAAGTGGAGACAAAAAAATAAATAAAAGGATGGCTTGTTTTCACCTGTGGGCTTGACCATGGTCGCAGGGGTGCATGCATGTCTGCCTCGTGTGCCATCCGCGTCTCCTTATTGCATTTACCCGGACCGAGTCGCCTACTGTATTGACTCATGGGCCGTCCGCCCGTGCGTATCCTGTTTGTCGAATCAAAACTACTGCTGTAGCGCTTTCGAGGAAAAAAAAGCAGAGGCCACTATTTACTGAAAGACATAGGGCTCCGCCGTGCGAAAGAGCTGACCCGTCCCGGGATTTATATCACAGTGATGCTTTACTCCGTGTTTTTTTTTTCTCAGATGGCGGACAACTCCGCAGGAAGTCCGGAGGAAGCTGTACAGGCTGACACTGCTGAGCCTGAAGTACCTTTGGTCGACTTCGGCACGGTGGTGGCCGGAAAGGAGCGCTTCGACGTATGCCGGCTCTTCCTAGCGTCCCTTCAGCTGGTGAGACAGAGGTCATTGATAGCTGACGCGTGGATGCGCCGCATCCTGGATCGCTAGAATCTTTGCTGCCTACCCGTGAGGGCGGAGGATTATTAGTATTCGGCCATGATGTATGGTCATTTGAGGTTGCCGTATCTGGCCTGTACCACTCAATCGTGCGGTGGTGCAAGCAATGAGCTCGATAGCTATCTACAGTATCACCGACCGCGTGGAATCACTCTACTTGCTACCCCCACAACTTCTCAATCCCCTTTGTTGCACCCATCCCCCGTTGCCCCGATTTCGTGTGTACGTTTCCCCGCCGGGCGTGTGGCGCACCTTTTGGTGCATCCACCCTTGATTGATGATGTTTCCACGGGGGTGATGTTTGCCCTTGGTGGCACGACGGGGAACACCCACCAGGCGAACAATGGAAACGTCCGTCTCTTCCATGGGGACAACGCCGCAGAGCAAGAGACAACTCCCTTCCGGCTCGAGCTACTCACGCTGCAAAACTCCGACAACATGAGCGGGTACTTCGCGCCATCCGCTTCCGCAGCTGGCACCGGACCCGAGAACGTTCCGGCGAACGGCGCGACGAAGAAGGGCACCAAGAACGGCGCTAGGAAGGGTGCAGAGGCGAAGATCAAGTCGGGGGGCAGAAGAGGAGGTCGGGGTGGTGTTGTGGGGACGAAAGAATCGCCGAGCATGATCCAGGCGGCCGTATAATAAAGGGACGAGGGGGAAATGGCGGAGCTGTAATTTTTTGTGGGTGTTTTGGGCGCGGTGTTGATGTTTTTTTTATACCATGCACAGCAGCAGTCGAGTGTCTATCGATTTATATTTTGTACAATAACACAACGTTGGTTTTGTGGGAGTCGTTTAGGATGCATGGAATACGGGTACACAGACGAAGAAGGCTTACAGGGGTCGGAATTGGG